TTCTTGTCACCAAACTCCCCTCTCCCGTTGACGTAGGGATGGCAATGCCAAAAAGTACAGAAACAAGGTAGGAATTAATATACAAAACCATACAAAAATCATTACACGAGTACTCAAATCTTTCCAAGAATACCTTTTATCTTCAACTAAATGTTGAATTCCTTTCAGTTGCATGAATTTAGGTTTGAATAAAAGCATTTAAACTGAATAGTGCTATACAAATCTTACAAGCTCATGGTTATTAGCTGCTGTAAGAAGACTCAGTAGTTACTGGCTACTTATGTAAGGATTTTTGTGTATTCATCCCTACCTTGTTTCTGTACTTTTTGGCATTGCCATCTCTACATCATACTTACTTTTTGAAAACAAAAATTATTACTTGTTTTCCTTTTTTTTTTTAACAATTTCATCGAAATAGGATGATAAATGAACATTCGTTTTATTATTATAATTCAATATCAATTTGTGCTGTCGTCTAGCGACCAGAAATAAAACAGTTATTTATGAAACATGGAAATAATATATGCTTATAAATTGAACTCATTGCTAAGTAGTAGTAGTTTTCATTTTTATTACTTCCTCACAAAAATACGTGTAGTAGATGAACAGAATAATATTCCTGTTATACAAGATGTGAAACACTCGATAATGACAATTAGGTGCTCAGATAAGGCTATAACTCAACTTTAGCAGTTATTTGTAAGCATCATAGAGTAATAGATTGAATGAGGCAGCCATTCTTTTCTCGGTCCATCCCTACATACCAAGCACCACCGTGCTTAGTGATTAACGGTATTTTCACAATGTTGCATAGCTGGATGATGAAAAGGTGGTGAAAATCATAAATAAACCACCAGATCACTTGCAATACTGCTGACACAGTGAACAGGATGACAATGCAGTTTCATTCACATCAGAAAACAAATTTCCAAGGTCTGGGTGCCAAACCAACAGAATGGATTCTTTGTGCTGTGAGGAGAATGACCTAAGTCAAACAGCTGCTACTGTTAGAAGAAAGGTGCGAGTGTGAAACAGATAGACTCAAGACCTGTTGAAACATGTAGAATGGTCTTTACATAAACAAATCTTAATTATGCATATAATTTTTTGTTTTGTTTTTCAATTTACAACTAGAACTTATCTTCATAGCATAAGATACAATGCTAGACAGAAGGCATTCCTCATTCCAGACAATATCATACACTGCCAGCAATGTTCATCACAGATAATATAACACTCTCCTACTTTTGGGACACTAGTATTGTCGTAATAAGTCCAGATTTGTACACACCTGGTAGTGATTATTCTCTCCTTTTGTTAAACTGTCTGCAAGTTATGACAAAATATGTCAGTAGTTCTGCAATGGTGTGAGGTCCTACTTAAATAGCTGGACAATCACAGTTAGTGGTATACAAAATGATGGTTACTGCTGCTCAACACATCACAATTCTCAAGCAAGTCTCCCTTCTTGTCTATGGTACTAACCAGTAAGGCAGTGTTTTCAAACTAGATAAGGCTCCTGTTCATTCAGCCCAAGTCACAAAATGATGGTTTGAAGGTCAAGGCACTATTACTTTCTCATGGTCAGGCAATCATAAGTTCTCGTATATAAAATGTGTTACCATCTTTCTTCCCTACATTTTGCAAAAGGCATATTGATTAAATACTAATAGTAATCTCATACTCTTTACTTCAAGTTTGTTTATTTAATAAAACAGCAATCTGTCTGGAGTGGTGTATATTTAGTTATTGTTATACTATGCATGTGTTTCTGCAGCAATAAATGTTTTTCTAACATTAATGCAAGGCTATGAAAAGAAACAGTATTTACAACTTAATTTCTTTTGTAGTGCAAGTGGCTTCTTCCAGTGATACAGACATGAATGTTCACAACACACAAAAACTAAAGTAGAAATGTCATTTGTTTCCTCTATTATTATTATCTTCTCATCTTCAGCAATTAAAACCTAAGTGTTGTCCATCAGAACTGAGGAAACATGTTTTTAATTAAAGAAAGCTATTAAAACACATGGTATGGATATCATTATACCAAAGGACTGATAGGATGTTAAATCTTGTGCAACCTGTATTCCTGCTGATAACTATTATCTAACTTTAACCAGTATGTATCACAAACCCAAATTTAACTAACTAGACCACTTTAAAAAACATGTATGTAGCAAAGACAATAACAGCCAGTACATCAGGTTGTGAGAAATAGGTCAATTTAATCAGTAAATAGTTTGTAAGAAGTGACTTTAACCAGCATGGCAGTTCTTAACAAAAAACCAACTTAACCAGTAAATGAGTGTGTAGAAAGTAACCACACTTATATACCAGTTTCTAACAAGTATATTCAACTTTACATATTTTATCAGTTTGCAACTCAGTTAATTTTAACCAGTATTCCACTTTTTATCAGCAGCTAAATTAATATGCAATTAATAGTAAATTAAACCATTATACCAAGACATAACAAATACAGCAGTTCAGTGTTTCTATAGAATGTGTTAAGAAAGAAAGTGACACATAAAGTTCACACTGAAGAAGAGTACATCACACTAGAAAGATATAAGAATTTCAGAAAGATAAGGTATTTATAAAACTATTCTCTATATGTATATAAATACAGACTAAAAAAAATACCCAAATTCAGCTTTGTGTGTGTTCTAATAGTTCATGTACTTCCAAAGGTGTACATAGATATACACATTAAAATAAATTATATTAAGATCTCATAAAGACTATAAGGTAACTACTCAAAAACATGCTCAATGCAACCAAACACCACTCGATATCATACATCTAACGTACACTGTCTCAATTCAATCGAACACCACCTGAAAGCATGTGTCTAATGTACACTGTCTTAGAACCGTTCAATAGTATGTGCCTATGCAAATAATCAAAGATGGTGTCGAGACCAAGGTCTGACATACATTTCAAGACCAAAACTGAGACCTTACTTGAAATATCAAGTCAAATTCTAGCCTTTAAAAAAGCATGTTCTTATCATACTTGAACTGTACAGCCAATATTTTATTTGAGAGATTAATTGTAAATATCAAATTAAAGCCTTCGAAGCTGGTCTTTAAACATAGCTATTTGCTACTGTAAACATATCTATCTGTTGGCATACATGGCTACACAATTCCAAATGAAAATAATAAGCTATTCATTTCAATATAAATGTCCAAAACAATAATTTCAAGAACAGTAAAGTCCACTTAGGAATACACACCATGAAGAGATGTGGAACAATTATTCTGGTAATGATTTAAATTGTATGGCATAGATATTCAACTTGCATGCAATTACATAAGTATATCATATTTACATAATTATTATTGATATTCAGTGAATATTTAATAACAATTAAACCCATTTCCAATGAGGGTAAAGTAACAAAATATAATTAAAATGCAACTGATATGGAATTATATTTTCAGCTGACATTCAGTTAATATTTAGCAAGAATTAAATGGATTTCTTGATAAGGATGTCCAACTGATATATTTCTATTTGTATAATTTAAACAATAATAAAAGGTTTTCAACACAAACAGATGACTAAACATAAATGCACAACAAACATTTACTAATAACACAATCTGTATTCTTACTGAAATGGATTTTTTATCAAATATTAATTATTAATAACAATTAATTAAATGTAATATAGCTAATGGCATGTCAAGTAAGTATCTGTTTATGCTATGCAATTTAAAGCAATACCATTATTTTTACTAGTTTTCATATTTATTTGCATATTATCAAAAACAACAGCCTTCTTTGCAAGTGGTTGTTGCATTTTAAAAACAATAAAAATTAAAAAGTCTTCTTATACAATGAATGAAGTTTTGAAAATATGGCATTTTCTTTCACTTCACTGAAGATTTTGTTGGTTAATAGTAATGGCATCATATGCAAAGCACCAGTAACAATCTCAAGGACCCAGTCCTTACCCTAGAATAATATGTTCTTTTGTTTTATCGGCTTTGGAAATGCTTCCATTACTATTAACCAACAATTTAAATTAGTTATGCATAAGGAAAAGCATTATCTTCTTTCAAAATAACATCTATGATACTATTTTTTAAGGCAGATTTCACTTCTTCTGATCCTGGATGATTATATTCCAACCAAACAAAACCACAGTTTGGGTCCAGAACACTAGCCACGAGACAAATCATTTTGCTGTAAGATTGAATATTTTCACAAACAGAATTAGTAAGTGAAGTTACTTGCAACTCACAGAGATGGTGTCAATTCCAAGGCTGAAAGCTAACATGCTGAGGCTGATACCTCATAATTTGGTCTCAAGACCCTATCTCTGCATATAATGCACACTGCCTCAATACAATCAAACACCACTCCAAAGCATATGTCTAACATACACCATCTCGATACAACCAAACACCATTAAATAGCATGTGTCTAATGTAAAATGTCTTGTTGCAATCAAACACCACCTGAAATTATGTGCTAATGTACACTGTCTCGATGCAATCAAAAACCATAAGAAAGCATGTGGCTAATATGCACTGCCTAGATGCATTTAATTATCCCTTATTAATTTGTTTAATGTACACTGCTTTAAAGCATTCAAACATCATTAAATAACAGGATAAGATAATGTAAGCTCTCTCATTTCAATGAAGTGCCATTAAAAGTTAAACACTTAAACAAATGTTAATACATTTGGTCTTTATTGTAAGAACTTTATTAAAATATTTGTTCAAAACCATTTCTTATATCAGACCTCTAAACTGAAGTTAAACTACAAATATTGGGCAATCAAACTATAATGAGACTAATATTATTAGCGTGTTTTTACCATAGATTTACACTTGCAAAATAAAAATATTATTTTTATATAATTAGCAATCGCTACACAAGGTGTACAAAGACAAAAAACAAAAACTGACACATGATAAAAGGTTATGTACTGTCCATTAACTGTGACACCGAGAATTAAAGAAAAAATACAACTTCTTAGCATTTCTACAACAACAAAGCAAATTTTTATTAAAAATGGGTTACAAGCATGTATATAAGACGAACATTTTAAAAATAATCCATTATTTTATTTTTTTTGTAAAGTAACTACTTCTTAGAGGCACTGCAGATAATCTATACAAATAACATATTTTTCTTTTCAATTCATGAAACAATTGGTTATATGGCTGTATTTCAAGTTTTTCAAATTAAATTGATCTGTGAAAACACCTTATATGAAAAATTATAAATAAATTCATAATCCATACAAGAAAGAAAAATTGTCACATACATTACTGTACTGGTTCTTATATCATTGCTCAATGTATTAACTCCTTAAACCCAAGTGGATGCTACCAGCATCCAGCCTAAAATCCCAATTTATTCATTGGACAGATAACATTTATGTTTCATTCGCTGAAAACTAATCCAAACCATATTATTATCCACCTTTTATAAATAAACCTAAAACTTTATAAGGTATGATGATAATTATCAGTACATCATGAAAATAATTGTGGAAAAACACACAAAAAACTATAGGTTTAAAGAGTTAAGTCCACAATTTGATACGGTTACTAAAGGTGAAGTTTTCTAGTTTTCCTTTTCTTCTTTCATAGCAGTATTTTTAATTTTTAACATATGGACATGTTATTGGCTTTATCACACATCTTAATTATTCATCTCTATTCCCCAGTATCCACAATACCATCAAGTGTTGATATCAGCTGTTTAAAAGCTTTTTTCTGTTTAGAAACATCAAGCAGTTATGTAAAGGGAAAATATAATTTAAAAACAAAAAATAAGTAATATTTAATATGACTTAGTTTACCAAAAAACAATCACAAAAAATTAGAGTAAGTAGTGTAATACATAAAATAAAATAGAAAATGCAAATGCCTAGTGTAGTCTTAGCTCTTATATCTCCCTATTGTGCCCTATATTTTGATTAAAAAGGGTTTTTGTGTTAAGCAACTCTAGCTTCTCTTGTATGGACAAAACTACAAATACTTGTGGTTCTTACTATTTTACAACTCAAAACACAAACATAGTGTTAAAATGGCTATATAGTTGGTTGTAAGTGGATCAGTAAGAAAAGTCATTTTCATATAAATATGAACACATTACAATAGATGCTTTTTGCATACTAATATATATATACTTCCATAGTATTACATAGAGCAGTATCTCTAATCTTGTTTTTAAGCAAGTACAGGTAAACAGGTAACATAACTTTAATTCAGTGTTGATACACTGATAGATGTTACCACAAAAGTGAAAATGGGCAACAACTGCCTTGCACAGGTAGAATTTCACTGAAAAATGTCTTCTGTCTTCAGGAGGTCAAATTAAGAACTGATTTTACTTGGTTCATGAGAGTTTGGTGAGGATGTGGGGATATGTCTGGTTAGTGATGTTGAACTTCATTAAGTGGTTCTGGTTTGGGTTACAGTTGTGATCAGTGGAAGCCACAGACTGACAATCTCTGAGTCCGTATCTCTGTTAAGTGAAGGTTTCAGCGTGTTTACATAAAAAGGTTCTTTAATCTGTCTAATTTTCCAGAACTTATCTGTTTCAACAAGCTTGTAATTGTCCATGTTACAAAAACATGTTCTGAAATGTGGGTTTTGCATTTTCATTAGTCTTGTATTGTGTTACACCAAAATCTCATTCTTGTGTTGAAATTTCTGGCTGATCTTTGCTCATATTCTGTATAAAATGTAGATGAACAATTGTAACAGGTGTATTCTTATCCTTAGTGTGAGTGGATTTTTTTGTATCATTCATGTTGTTGTTGTTTTTCTATAAATTTGTAAAACTATCCATTTGGTTTGAAGCATGTATAAAGTGTAAACACCACTTCTTCTTGATGAAACTGTTGTCATAAATGTTTTCAGTGCTACTATTCAAGCATTAGACAATACTGCATTTAAGGAAGGTGGCTTTCTGTCTTTATGAGTTGGTTTTCTGAACACTCTAGTTGTGAATTTGTCATCATTTTTACTGATGAGAATGTCCAAGATCAGCAGTGTTTTGCTTTTCCCATTTTCATGACAAGTTGAACTGTTGAGTTGTTAACTTTGTTTCATTATGATCACACTGTCTAACCAATCATTTCAAGAATGCTAGAAGTATTTTATTCAAGTGAAACTGTATAATGTATGTTTTTATACACAGTAGGTCAATCTGTATATTTCTTTTAATTTTTAGATTACAAATAATCATGTGTCAAATTTAGTTCAAATTTTTTTTTGTTACATTCAGTTTTCTGATAAACAAGTATCCCAAAAATGGCTTTTAACTTCTTTTGAACAACAAATTTGAAAAATATACATAAGTAAAACTAAAAACAGTCTTCTAGTACAGCAAAAATAAAGTAAAAGTTGTGTTAAATAATACTAAAAAAAAGTTTCATTTCATCAGTGTACTCCCTTTTCTTGTGTTATAATAGCTAATATTTTACTTATTGATAATGAAATTATTTAAGTAACACTATCTTAATAATCTTAACAATTAGTAATTTCAAATAAATGATTTTTTTAATAAATTAACTGTAAAAAACTGTTTTTAAACAAGAAATATATTATTCTGACAATTATATAAATAACAATTTACAAATACTGAAAGAGTTTACATAGAAAGTAATAAACTTTACAAAAGTACTTTAAAATGTCTACATTTTGCATAATTGTATTCCAAAACTGTCAAAAATTCTCATTAACTTCCAAAATAATAAAAAATATTGTATATATTCTCAAAGGACAAACATAATGCAATCAGTCAATCTAATGCATTGTGCAGTATTATTATACATACATATAAAATATATATTACACTGTGTGATCAACAATCTGAGTGCAATATAAAGGCAATTCCTTTCCATACAGATACACTGAAACACAAATACTGCCACTCAATGTTCTTTTATAACCAAATATGTCATTATAATTTACATTACACTGAAACCAAAATGAAACAAAGATTTAGGTATAAAATTTTTGGTAATAACAAAAGCATTATAATTATACACAGAAGTAAAAAGAAAAGATCTATATAATAAAACAAAATCCTCACTTATACATCTCTTAAAAACATTAATCATCATAAACTTGAAACACAAACTTGTTTCTCACACACACACACTAATGACTTGAATACATAAAATTCTTTTTTAGCATGCACTTTCACACTTTGCAAAATAAAAAATATACAAGCTAAGTTACTTTAGTGTTTACACTAGCTTTCATAGCATAATACACTGAAAATACATTATTCTGTTCTAAGGGTTTTCCAAAACTATACATAAAATGTGATTTAATTATAACTGACATCTTTTATAAGATAGTTTTTGAGTGTTTTATTCAATTACTTTACTGTCAATTGAATGGCAATGTACTAGAACCAGAACAAACTAAATGTTTGTACAGGAACAAATTTCTGGCCTAATAGTATGTGTTTTACAAAATACATTAATGAGGCTTACACATGTCCACTGTCAGGCTAAAGTAGTCTAGATGGGCTAAAAATGAAATTTCATTCACTGTTTCTAAAAATAAATATTCAGCTCTTAATATTTAAAACACAATAAATCAGTGAAGTTTACTGCGCCCCTATTGTGTTAAGGGAAAGTTATAAAGCACAATATGCAGTTGTCAAATAAAGCATTCAAACCATTCAACAAATAACAACCATTCATTTTCATTTGGCTGATAGTCAGTGATATATTCCCTCTCATAGAGTAATATAAATGAGAAAGCTCCAAAGACATATTTTCTACCATTTGATTTAGAACAAAAAATAAATGTAATATAATACATATATAAAACATAACTTTGATGTAATACATATACAAAATAGTGAATTCTAGATGTTTCTCCAAGGATAATTTTACATATTTCTAATTAACTTGTACATCAATATGGATTAATGGAATTTTTCACAATCCCAATTATATCATAAATATTTTAGGTTCAGTCAAACAGTTTTTTTATATTTTTAGCTTTAATTTCCACAAGCTAAACCAATCTATTTTTTATCATTTTAACAGAAATACTTACTTTAACTTAAAGTTTTATTTTTATTTGTATTATTAGCTACATAATCAACAAAATATATTTTAGAAAAGTCTGTAAATAATAATTTCTCTGTTCTGTTTGATTATATTTACCTAACTGCCTTTGAATACCTCAACACTTCTGGATGCTGCTCTCCTGCTGCCCATTTTCCAGCATTTCCTTATAGTGTAATTGAATTATGATAAACTATTATGGAAATAAATAAACTGACTAGTCAATCTATATTAATCTCTGCACTTGCAGACCTTAATAATAAAATATTGCATTTTAATCTTGATGAAAAATAACAGCCTAACCTTCTTATTTATGTTTGAATACCTATACTAATTTAATGATTGAATCTGTTCCTTCAAAATACTAAACCATTGTTTCTCAGCAAAATTTGCCAGATGACCCCTGCATCCAAGCTTTGGTTATCTTGACCCCCCCTTTATCTCTGCAAGAATAAAAAATTATTGATGCTTCTTGGTGCAGTTTGTCATAGTTCATTACAAAGGTGATACATGCACCTCTCAGATTCCTTGAAGAATTAAAAAAAAAAGTTGTCTCAGCAAAGACAGCTTGTGACCCCCTGGAAATCTACTCACGACCCACTGTCAGTTCTTTCTTACATGCAACAGGAAACTGTCCTGTCTCAACAATGCCTCACAGACACAGTTTGACAGAATGAAATTAACACATAGTACCTTACCCTCAGGAAACATTTTACTAATAACAAATGAACACAGATACCTGTATATATATATTTCAATCAAGCTAACATAACATTTAGAACCATGTGTACTACAATGCAAAAACTAATTTACATTATGTAAAGAATGCACTAATTTCTCCGTCCTTCTCTGTTTTTTATAAGTACATATAACTCTAAAATCAAATGAGGTGTAAAGCAGGCAAAAGTACTATTCAAGAAACTATAATTACAAAATTTTCTCTTACAACAAACACTCAACAAAGATATGACACATAAAAGTAACATTACTTTTCAGGGTTTATTTTTTCAACCTAAGAAATACTATCAGAGAATCTAAACATAAATTTTGCTCACACAAGAATTACATTAAAAATTATTTTTTAAAAAATCACAATAAAAATGTGTCATGCACAAAAAATGCTTGAAACAATCCTACTTTCCACAGAAAATAACACAAACAATTCTTGCCCCTGCTAAATTTATAGAAACTTTTTAGCAGTTTTTATGGCAAAAGTACCACAACACCAGGTGGTTGTTCGAGAAGAAGGATTAGCATAATCATCTGTGTCTTGGTCATTCACCCACCCACCCTGACTACGTAAAGCCATTAAATGACGAAGGTCCACTGGTCAGCATGAAAAAAGTAAGAAAGAAGATATAAGCATGCCAGTACCATACATCAATTTTTTTATTCTACACTTCATTAAAAAAATCATAATAAAAACATGGTTATTTGTTACAACTCCTAAAATACAGAAATCATATCTTACCAAAAACTGTAAACACAATACCTTTAGATACACTCTATTCTCAGCAAATGACAGATCAAATAGAATCAATAAATGGAGCAAAACAAATATATAAACAGAATGAGTTTTTACAAATAAAAAAAAGCAGTAATGTACAGTTTTTTAATACAACAACCAATAGAATATTCATGTATCATTAAAGAAAGCTGCATGTTTATGAATTCTCAGATCTCAGATTTAAGAGATATGTTTTCACAATATTTTTAGGTTTAAGCTTTAAATTTAGCCCCACCCATAGTTGTATGTATATAAACAAAACAGTAGTGAAGAACATTAATACAGTCATTAAGTTGGACAAAACTTTCCACAAAAAGTTCTTGAAAACACTCAAATCTGTAACATGACAGTTTATACCGCTTAATTTTTTAACATTCATATTCTCATATAAAATTAATTTGGTTATGATTTTTAATATCGAGGTAAAATATTAAATTTTCAACCACTTATCTTCAAGTAAGTTTACATGTGGTAAAACCTTAAACTTAACATATCTATGAAAGGTTTGTCTTAAAGGAGAAGGGAACATCATATAGACATACCCTTAACGAATTCAAAAAAAAATTGTGAGTGTAATATGATAATAGTGACACTAAGTTTCAAATATAACAAAAATGTGTCAGAGCAAATCTCAAATTAAGATTTTTAACATTTGTAGCTTTAAGAGTTTAAGTGTAAATAAATTATTGTCTTGATTAAATTTAATTCAGTAGCAAAAAAAACTAACAAAATCAGCAAAATGTGCTCATACCATAAAATAAATAAGTAGAATAAAATATTGCTAACAACTTCTAATTGTATTTGCTGTGTCCAACACTCATGGTAATAAGTGACATATCCAAATAGTTATGATGGAAAAAATGACCTTTCAAAGAGATCATCTGATGAATGTTTAAGCTAAATTTCCTTGAATACATTTCAGTGCCATTAACAAGTAATAAGTAGCTATAATCTATGATGCATACAATCACTCACTATTGAAATTTGAAGTTTTAAAACCCATAACACGGTGACACTGTTAGTAAAAGCAGTCCACATTAAACAGCAGTTATACAAGAGTAAAAGAGAGAGAGATGCTTCATATACAAGAAACCAAAACATGTTAGGCATACAGTAACTTAAATAATAGCATTAGTACTTTCTCCAAAATATGTTGCACATCTAGTACATGAGAGAGTAACCACACATCTTTAAAATTTACATATTTATTCTTTGATAACAATTTTTAACAAAAGTTTAAGTCAAATGAAAAAAAAAAGCCTCATATACAAAAGTAACAAACTCAAATTACCTTTTCACCAGTTAAACAATAACCTAATATTACTTGACTGTCAACATATGATTTTGAATGTCAAGGACAAAAAATTTTGCTTGTGAGCATATTTATAACAAACCGATACAGACAAACTTTGTAGATAATATAAAATATTCACAAGTCAATGAAATATTGTATTGAAGCTGCATAAACCCATTCCCAACCAGCACAGTCCTATGTGTCCTCTTTTAAAAGACTATAAACATGTGACTTTAGTATATAGCTAAATAACTATGCTTGTTCGATTCAATATGAAGTATAAGAACAAAATGACTAACTTGTTACTCTGCACTAATCAAGACTTGACTTCAATTTCCTTGATCAGGCTCTATTAAAAACAAAATCTTCATCCTAGATCTTTTGAGTGAGGTTAGCAGTATTTCCTACACAAATTTGAACACACAGAAATATTTCTCAGGTTTTGAAATTGTAACGTGAATGATTTAAATAATTGATTTTTATTTCAGAATGTTAAGATAAATTGAAAAATTTGGCTAGTATGGCATTTCTTCTAAAAGAAACAAATTCATGCAAGTTCAATTAAAATACAAAATATCTTATGAATTACCTTAGATGTGTGTGTGTGTACTTCCAGCTGTAGAATATTTAAAAGTGCGTCGGACAAGCTGCAGCGATAATTTCTATAGAAATGTCATTATTCTAATGCAAGATGCTTCAACTTTTAATAAACTTTAGCAATAACATTTATGCATATAACTGACCATAAATTTCAATTAATGTACTTTCTGTATCCATACACTACTTGTATTACACAAATTATCTACCAGTATGAAACAGAAGTGAGCTAAAAAAGATATGTTTATTTCCATGTTCAAGTTATATATATCTAAAGGTGCATTCACAATATTAGTATTTGTAGTTTAAAAACAGAAAACTAAGACTACAAAAGTGTTTCATTATTGATCAACCAGATTAAATTTGCTATGCTAAAACTTTAAACAAACTAACATGGTGACTTTTATCCATTGAAAAATGTTGATAATTTTCTCAAGCAACTAATAGTTCTTCACACGCACATGTACTAACGCAATGCTATACGATGGAAATCTCAAGTATAACATTGTTCATAATAAAGTGGCATAAACTAGAAAGTTAATAAATACAAGCAGCTAAAAAATTTGATTAACTTCAAGCATACTTGCAAGTCATGAAGCTTAGAGAGTAACCAGAGTAGAACTTTGAGGAAACATTGTAAACATACTTGTTTTCATGCTCATACCATATTTTATTTTACAGATCAGTAGATGCATTTCATGTCACGGGAACTTTACAGAAAAACCAGCCTTACCTGAATTGACTGTGTATCTTGCTTTTGCACTGTTACAGTATGCTTCTATCACTTGTAATATTTTGATGTCATCTTCATAATGTTTCTCGTCTACTTCTGTAAGTAATCCCAAGTTTCTTGTTAAAAGAAATAGCATTTAACATAAGCATAAAACATAATCAAAGTAACAGAAAATTCCTCAAAATTGTGATTCTTAAAATTAAGGAAGAAAACAACCAATTTATAACTTTGACAATAATACTAATACAAGAGCTTACACCTATCTTTGTCTCTTAAGTATATTTTTATCTAACAACAAATACTTGTAGTTGAAAGATTATAAAGATCTGGTAAATATTTACTGGAATCAAATTCAAAATCATGGTTATTAATGCCATTACATTCACTCACTCATTCATTAAACTAAGTCTCAGCATAAAAACAGGAGTAACAATTGATACTAATATCACAAAAGTGCCATTAACTAACCTCCCTTATGTTTTTGTCCTCTGTACCCTGTGAGTATTAAGTCAAATGATTAGAACAATAAAGTACTTGAAACTGCTTCTCTTGTTCAGTTAACATAAAAAAAGTTAATTCACTTACAACTGACACAAAACAATACAAGAACTGAAGTACAAATTCACTGAATTTCAGCTGATCTTAACCTTATGAGTGAACACTGGCCAAGCTTGAGAGAAATATTTTCAAGTCTTCCCAACAAGTTAAGAATGGGTAAAAAAAAAGAAAAAATATGACTTATACATATTTTGTTTTTAATGAAAATGTCTAAAACGAAAGCAGTGTAAATTGGTAGAATGTTGAAAGTCTATTTCTCTAAAGGACTACAAGCATCAAACAAGTAAGCTATTTATATAACATTCCATTTTTAGCTGCTAAATATAACAGATGTTCAATCTTAGCATATATGCAAAGTTTGCAGGTCACTTATGCCCTGTATCTAAAATTTATAAATGAATTAAAGTATAAGAATTGTAATTCCAGAAATACTTGAATTTCTGTTTTTATATATATACACACATACACATCTTATGCTCCCATCACTTTGGTGAAATTACACTTTCTATCGTTTAAATATTTAGATATCACAATAACTGTAATTGAATGACCTTGTTTTATGCCAAATTTCAATGGCACAGATGAATTTTACTCCCTTGCCTTATTTAACTTCTCTGCATGGCACAAGCTGCACTCTAGCCTTGAATGAGATTTCTAAATTTTATCGTATAGATGCTACTTAACTGTACTTAAATTTGTTTTTTATTTTTCAAAAACAATAAAAACTCATCTTAATAAATTTTTAATGATTTAACTAACTTCATTTGTGTTTTGATTTAATGTTTTGTATAAATTCACTAAAATAGAATTTTTCTGCTGCATTGCATTTTTGTTACTTTTGGGATTATAATTTTACTGTCAAGTCAAATTTTTCTAATTTAGTGTGAATTTTTATTTCATATAAACTGTTGGTATATAAAGTGCTTGAAGTGTAAAGAGATGCCATCCCACTTCCTTTCAGAAGGACCTGAAATCATCCTGCTACCTTTTAGTACACTGTAAGCTTCTCAGAAGGGAAAAGTCCAATAGATGATGTAATAAATAATTATGGCAGCAAGAGACTGGGGAGAGAAACTGTCTTTTTTTCCCCTTAAAATGTCCTGTAAGAGGGTGGCAGAAAGGATACAAAGTAGTTCATGGAACAAGCAAATGAATCCTCTCACTACAGGCTTGGTCAGTGCGACCAAGTTTGTAACCATAAAGTAACCACCAGTTTCCATACATCTATTTATATTTAATTTTATTGTTTTATTGCTCTTTGAACCATGTCTAACTAATAATCCTGCCACACATGTTGTAAATCACTAGGCAAATGTGCAGCTTATATTACTGTATCGAATTACATAAGGCACGAGCTGCTTGCAAATTATACCTCGTGAATCGATTAAGAACTCTAAACTTATCTCAATAAGAATTAGATATTTCTTTCCATGTCTTTAAAAATAAAATAAATTCAAAAACAATTTATTATTACTCTGATTGATGAAGCTGGTTGTAATTTTGGTTTTGTGTGTAAAAAATTATATGCACAAATTTTACTTAATGAAATTAATATTACAAGTACTTTTATTAAAAGTACTTTGAAGAAAAATAATGTTATTACTAATTTAAAGAAGGACATTAAAAAATGGAATATCCATACAGATAATTCTTGTATGAATTTACCATTTTTATACGCAATTCCAAAAATTGCATAAAAATCCTGTGAAGTTCAGATTTATTACTAATTCTTTAAATACAATTATTAAATCTCTCCACAGTACTTAATAATATTCTAGATGTCTTGTTTGAAATAAATAAGTTTTCAAATAACCAGAATAATTATTTTTAGATTATTAATGTTTAAATAATTTAATTTCTTCAAAAACTGCCAGTTCTATTTTCACATATGACTTTACTACACTGTATACTATAATAGACCTAAAAGATCTGATCAGGGTTTTCAATGATTTGTTTGATAATTCTATACATAATGAAATAACTATACCTAAATTTAAATTCACTAGAATTCAATGTAAAAAATATACTCCATTTCTGTATTTATAACAGTTATATTACGTTTAACTCACCAGTATATAAGCAAACAGTGTTTTACAAAAACTCATTTATGAAGCAGACTTTAATGCCTAACTTGTACATTTACACTTTCCATTACATAAATGATTTAATATCTATAAATAATATGAATTTTGCACCAAACTTAATATATCCAACAGAACTTGAAATAGAAAGAAGTAATAATAACAATAATGAGATACATGCTAATTATTTAGATTCAGACATTACTTTGATAGGACAAACAGTGCAGTTTGACTTTTTTGATAAAAGAAGAGAATTTAATTTTCTCATTCTTGGTCTACCCACAGCTAACTGTTATTCCATGTATCATGTTAAAAGGTATTATTATATCTCAACTAAAAAGGTTTTCAATAGTCTGTAATAACTATAATTTTTTCATGGATAATGTTCTATTATTTAAAAATAAACTGAAAGATAACTGCGTCAGTTACTTTGATTTATAAGTAGCTAATAACAATTCCTAAATAATTATATTAAGTATACTGGAATGGAAAGACTAACTTCAAGTAGATGGGCTTGTCTCAGCATTCCTGTGTTATACTTGAATAAATCTTCAAGAGAAAGGGAGGAAGATGGGAGCAAGAACTATATAAGAACTTTTAAGGTAGATTTTATAGTTCTGTTTAGTTTTATTCAATATCTTATAGTTCTATTTAGTATTTTATAGTTCTATTAAATATATTTTTTGTAAGGGTGGAGGTTGGGAGTTTAATTAGTAGAAATGTTTGGAAGGTTTCATTTCTACTTCAAGAAACTTAAGGGTAACCGCCTTCCCACAGGTGGCTATAGACAGTGAAAGGCAGTAGAATGTAAGCACTCAGCTTTGTGCCCTTATTTGATTTTCCATGACATCTGACTAGATTAACATCAGCATATGGATTTTGTCTGATAGATGGGATATCCCCAATGCACTTGGGTGCTATTACCACAGACATTATCCTCTATGACAATAAGTTTACAACCTGGACCAATAACAGTAATGCAATATTTAATTCATTATTGTTTTATAGCACTGATTCAATCTCCTATTAACAATTAATGTAATCAATAGTTTGAAAGCTATTTACACATATATATACACATACACATATATATACGTTTCTTAATTCCAAACTTATTTCAGACCAAATATTTGGTATTGTGTTTATTTTGAGTACTCTTATTTTATTTAGAGGATTCAATGAGAGAGTGAAGATGTTGAATAGCTAATCTCTTGAAGTTTCTGAAATATCTTGTTTAAATCTGTTTAAGGACTTGGTTAATAATACATTTTTAAAGTAATTTTTCTAATTACTTCAAAAAGAGATGTTGATCTAATAAGAATGGAAAATAAACAGAATTAGGGTTACAGTGTTAAATTAGAACTTGATGGTGTATGTATTACCAACGTTAGATTTGACTTACCAAATGTTACATGATTTTAACTACAATTTAGCTTATTGGTAAATTATAAAACAGGCTGAATATATTTTAATGATAAACTTAATTATTTTAGAGAGAAGATAAGGTAGTGATACCTGGGAAGTCCTACCAGTAGCGCCATTGCATTGTTTAGACGTTTGATTTGCTTTTCTGTATGCGGCTACCATTTATACACATGCTTTGCCATTTCAAATTATTTTTTTCAACAGTTTGATTTTACTGAGTTTGCATTCAATCATTTTTCTCTGCATTTATTTCTTGTTACCAAATTATAAGAGATCTTAGTATGAATTTACAATCAATGTATTGATTATGGAAATTCCTGTTAAAGTAAAAAAAAAAATCAAGAAAGTGAGGATTGAGTTAGAATAGCAGAGGGAGCTAGCTGCATCAGTATAGGAGGTACAATACCACTGATGGAGAGTAGTCACATAATATGTAAATGTTCGTGCAAAATTGATGGGGTATATGGACTGGTGAACTGATGAAGATGGCAGATGAAGATCGAGATAACTTTGTGTGGAAGGAGGTAAGACTGTATCAAAAGATAATGCTCCTGAGCCAGATAATATCTCTAGAAAGGTTTTGAAGGAGATTAAAGATTAGATATATTTTGTGTAACTAGTGCCAGAAGAGGGAGGTGATTAAAAACTGTCATAGTAATTATAGGCCTATTAGTCTTACTTCAGCGGTTAGAAATTTTTGAAAGTCTGATATAAGATGCTTTGCAAAGTCACTTAAATCCTTTCAGTATAGGCCCCTGCAATTTTCAGGGTGCCGTATCAGGAATTTTACTTGTGCAAGAATACACTGTTAATCTGAGACTTCTTAACGTATCCTCATAAAAACTGGTAAGATTTTTTTTACAGATTATAAATATCTTGAACCCAAAGAATGGCATTATTTTAATTAAATTGTTTTAACAGAAATATATTATTTATCTGCTGTAGTTTTTTTTGCACTCAAACTTAATAAATCGAGTGCAAAGTGATTTTCCTTTCATGTATAAAAATGCTTTTCTTCATTTTTATAGTTTTCATATTTCATATGCATAACTTCTAGATCCTCCTAAATGAATATCAAAAGTTTTAAGGTAAATGTTTATATTTCATTTTTCATTTTCTTTGCAATATCACTAACTGTAGATATTATCATCAACATACAGTGTAATGAAATGTTTAAAATTAAGAAGAAGAAAAATGAACAAACCTTTTCATTTTTCACAGAATATCTTAAAATATCTTCCTTTGGTTATATTCGTAATTTCAGACCTTTTCCTTTTCACTTTGTTAATTTTTCATATTTTATTTTCCTTTCCTTTCCTGTCCTTTACCTTTATTAATTCATCTTGGCACAAGTCAATGGTGCCCTTGAAGCATAATTACAGTATCTTCAGTATAGACGCACAAGACTCCGGCAAAATTATCTTACCTGAGTGCCAAATCTTAAGTCTTGAGAACAGATACAAAAAGTATGATCTATATTTTAAGAAAAAATTCGAACCTTTCAATTATGCATTCTAAAATATAATTAATACATAATTAACTAAAATATAAAAGTAAGACCTAAATACAATTTAACTGTCTCTCTAACTATAATATCTTCATGAAATTTGGCAGACTTTCAGTTAATATTACAAGTCTTTCACATATAAAAAGTTATATTTCTTAGTGTAGTATTTTTAATAAAATAGTTTTTTCCATGAATATATTGAGTATTTGTTTTGAATAGTCCGTGTGTAAAGTAATTTCATGTTAAATTTAAAAATACTTTTCATCATCTCAAAAATCTTAAATTTCCTTTGTGTGATCCCTAAAACCTCCTAAATGCATTTCAAACGTTTTTGTCACTAAATCCTTATAGTTTATATGTTATTTTCTCTACCCTATTTCAAAACGGGATCGGTCAATTCGACCACCCTCGTAACCACCAAAAAAAATTGAAATAAACCTAAATTAATCTTCTTTTCTTTGTAGAATGACTTCAACTTGTAACATGAAACTACATTCGTTTATCCTAAGTAGCTCTAAGTTTGTAACATTATACATCTATTTATTGTTTTATTGCCCTTTTTATTGCCGTTTGAACCATGTCTAATTGCTATCCCCACCATTATAAGTTGTAAATCACTCAGAACATGCAGCTCATATTGCGCTATCGAATTACATTACCCACGAGCTGCTCGCATGCGTGCCTCGTGAACCATTTTAATTATATATTATTATTACTTATTTTACCTATTTTAGTCTTAAATAACCTAAAAAGATTCGTACTTTTAATTTTAGTTACTTTTATAATAATAATAAATAAAGAATAAATATGAAAAACAAAAAATAAAGTACTTACCCAATCTTCTTTTTTATTGCCCTTGATTGTCGAGGAGAGTTAAGCCTGATTTTGTTTTAGTGATTATAGTAAAACACTTAACAATATTTAGTTAATTAAATAATACACCAAAGAATATAGACTAAAAACATGCAAAACGTAGACAAGTTCACTTGCTTCTAAAAATTTTCCTGGCTTTCTAACTATGCGACAAGAGCCGTTACAAAGAGCCGTCCAAGCTAGTCATTAACTTTCCCCAGGGAACGATGTTGCTACTCTGAGTGAAATTGGCAGTTATCTGTTCAGAACACAACGTTATACAATACACCATTTGATAGATGTTAACCTTGACTTTCTATTGATTATAGGTAATATATAATGAAACATAAGAGAGAACTATCAATGAATTGTGAAAGACAGGATGTGACAGGTGGGTGTGGCAGGAGGTGTCTGATTTTCTATTCAATAGCTCTGTAACCAAACAAAATTGAAGGCTATAACAATTATGGTCTGTTAGAGAAATAACGATTTTATAGAGTATTTTACGTTTAATTTTGTACATTTTTGAAGCGTGATGGATTAAATAGAGATGATGACATGCTAAGACAAAATGTGTCACGTGTGTTGCACTAGTGGAAATTCAGGATTGTTTTATATATTTCCTTGTAGAATTAACAGCTTAAAACTTGTATACTATTAAAATATGGATTATTAGCTAAGATTTCTAGCTATTCTAATTGGTATAACATAAACAAAAAGTAGTTTAATAACATTTTGAATGTAAGATACTAAAACCTTGTGTCATGCACAGTAAAGGGTACCTGTTGCTTAAGGGTTAACAAAGTTTAAAATTTTGTTGGATAATTAACATGTTTTTACTGGGGGGGGGGGATAGTGCCTTACTAATCTTTTGGCATTCTTAGAAAAAGTTACATAGATGTGGGTGTGGTATATATATATATATATGTATATAGATTTTAGAAAGCATTTAACAAGGTGCTACATGAAAGGCTTGTTAAAACAATCACCTTTGTAGTTGTGAGGGATAGGACAGCTTATTGTATAAAAACTATCTGTATGAAAGAAAGCAGACGGTTGTTACAAATGGAGTTCAGACAAACTAGATTAATGTTAAAACCTTTTCATTAACATCAAGGACACAAATGAAGAAATGGTTAATACATTATCTAAATTTAACTGAGGATATTAAGGTTTTGGGTATTGCTGGATGTGAGCATAATGCTGCTGCTTTACAAAAGGATTTGAATTATTTGACAAGTTGGACAAATAAATGGTAGATGGCTTTTAATTATAGTGTATGCAAAGTAATGCAAGTGGAATATCATAATTTGAATTACAAGTATAAATTTGATGGAAATAACCTTAAAAGTTTTTAGAGAAGAAAATGATATTGGTATTATAGTTAACAAGTCTCTTAAGCCATCCAAGTAATGTGCTATTGCTATGGCAGGGCAAACAGGATTTTAGGTTGTATCTACAGAAATACTCAATACTAAAGAGGTTATAATTTCATTGTATAGGTCATTGGATAGGCCAAATTTGGATCATTGTGTTCAGTCTTGGGATCTTTACCATAGAAAGGACAGACAATGACAATGAATTGTTGTAAAGGGTTCAGAGAAAAGCTATTAGGATATCTGGGATGGAAAGGTTGTCATATGAAGATCTGATTACAGTGTTTAAGATCACTAGGGGATTGACAGCATTGATGCATCATCATTTTTTGTTTTCATGTTTAATAGTAGGACTAGGGAACACAAATAAATTATGGAAGGGTATGAGTCATCTTCAGTTAAGACAACTTTATTTTTCTAACAGTTAATATATGAATATGTGTGTGTGTGTGTGTGTGTATTTTATAGCAAAGCCACATCAGGCTATCTTCTGTGTCCAACCAGGGGAATTAAACCCCTGATTTCAGCATTGTAAATCTGTAGACTTACCACTGTCCCACCGTAGAACATAATATATGGGAAGGCTAGCTAACAATTTTAATGATAAGGACTAGTTTTGGGTGTTTTATTTTAAAGTTTAGTTTAGTGGATGGGACGGCCTAGATGGACCAAGAAGTTCCTTGTCATCCTTAAATTATACGTATATGTATTTTTTGTTAATTTAAAATAAGCTAAAAAGAGTATGGTACACAATTAATTATTGCAAATAAATTAAACATAATGACATGTATCTAACTCACAAATTATCTGTTACTTAGCACATTTACTAACACAGTTATTAGATCCTTGTAACTGTTTCAAGTTGTAAAACTGTAATTCCATATCATTTGCATTTAAGTATATTCACCTCTATCCTTACATCCAGCCTTGGCCCTCCTGAGAACAATATCTTCTTTAGCTGACAACCCAAAACACGATCGCATTGGTGGGTGAGGTTTAAGGCTCCACATCTTCCACACTCTCTCTGAACTAGACACAGTTTGACTTGTTGTTGATGGAGTTTTTTTCATACCATTGACATTTACCAGCCCAGTGCATGATGATCCTACTACACTTTGCTAAAGATATCAACAAGTAATAACTATAGTTAATAATGATCTATGCAGAAATCTGAAAGTTGAATTTGCAGAACATGAAAGATTATTCACAACTTTAAAGTTACTAGCACAACAGATTTCTTTTTTCCATAGTAAAAAGTGATACAAGTATTTGAAATCAAAAATAATAAAAATTAAGGCAACCCTATGCTTATTTAAATTTCATACTATCAACTTTTCTAATGCCTTATATCTGTTGAATTTGACATATACATATGCTAAATAACAGAAACTTCACAACTGTTTGCATTTATGTTTAAAGGGGATATACAATGTATAGTGAAATTAAAATCAGTTTAATTTTTTAAATTGATAAAGACATTGAAATAAAAATATGAACCACAACAAAACACAATTACGAGTTACTGTTCCAAATGATGAACCTATATATGCATTGAAGAAACATTTCACTGTACGTATATGAATTCTACAAAAATATGTTTGCCTTTCCATTCTTAATTTCATTCAAAATATTCATAATGACATATATCTGTTCCTTAGAATTCTCATTCTTTAGAAATAAGGTTTTAATAAAACATCAATTATAAATTAAAAGTATGCTATTCTGAATTAAAATAACAGATATCAAACATCTTGTTGTGATAAGTTTATACACATGAATATACATGAATTCTTCTTGTATTGATTTTCTCATTACAAGAGAAACAAAATACATAAAATACTTTTCAAAGAACAAGTGTTGGATTATCATAACTAGGTACATGTATCATAGTTTTTTTTAACTTTAAATAATAGTTCAAGAAAAGAGTAAAATCAACTTCCAATATACTGTTATCCAGCACCCAGAAAGAATCAGATTAAAACCATAAGCTAATGAAATCATGCCAATGCAACAAGATGTATTAAAACTCTTCAAAAAAGTTAAATAAATTAAATGAGACTTAGTAACAATAGGTCATGCTGATATCACCTATACTTCATATTCAAAGAATGAATAAAGTTGAACTAAAAAAAATAAAAATAATAGAGATACAGAAATGTGAGACACTTTGAAAGTGTCAGTATTATTGGAAATACATTTTCAGTTTAGGAAAATGTTAACTTCCAAAACACACCTCCACTGACACTATAGCTAGAATCCCACATTGAGAAGGTGGAGGGACCATTGCAGGCATGAACCATACGGAAAGCATCTGTATAGAACAGAAGTGTACCAAGATAAAGATGGTTCAAGAGTGGGGGAACTGCGCTACATCCAGAACAGGTATGCTCTTCACCAGGAACTCAGTTCCTGTATCAAAGGTGGAATAGAATAATCTTCAGTATAGACCAGCCCCAACCAGACAAATGAGGTTACACAACTCGGGGTTGGAATTAAGGGGTCATGGTACCTATATCCCATGTTGGTGGCTAGGGCTATTGGACTGCAATGTTATACATACTTTTAATTGGATCCCAACCTGTAGCTACAGAGTTACCTGTTTTACACCACCAGAATCATGACGAGAAAGTAAGCAACACAAAACTTTCTCCTCCACCTGAAGAAGTCCAAAAGGCAACACCCCAGGCTCGGAATGATGGGATCGTGTATACCATACTCAACCAAAGGAGTAGAACTCATCTGGAATTATGAACATTCATCCTCACTCTCCAACCAAGTGGACAAGGAGTACTCCGCTTGCCCTTGGCATTAAGGAGAGGACATGAAACCTGTGCTCAACCAAAGACCAAGGATGGGGCCACATCGTGTTTGGAAATATGAGGGAATAGTGGACCTCCTTCCATGATCAGTATACGAAACCTCCATTTTGTGGCTTCTGAAAGAAAAATCTGAAAGTGTTGTTCTGCTAATCGACAGGATGGTGCCAGTCGTCCATATAATGATGTGTGCACAGACCCAAAGAATGCAGATGACGAGAAAAAGCTTGAACAAGTCTGTAGAAGACAAGGTGGTGATGCAAGACTAAGAGGTAGAGCCCTAAACTGCAGTACCTAACCCTTGTGCACAGATCTGAGAAACCTTCAGGAAGATTCCGCTATGGGAATATGGAGATAAGCATTGGTAACTTTGAACTTAGTCATCCAGAGCCCTGTGGTAAAGTGCTATTGTAGATTGAGAAAAGATTTCATAGTAAAGAGCTACAGATGTCCAGAAAGTGATGTAATCATGCTCCCACTGCTCCTCCATCCACAGGATAGTCACCAATGCAGTTGTCGATGGTCAGTCCAAGTTAAAGATTCTTGAGAATACGGCTGACCTCTATTATGGGAACCAATAGAGGTTAGGAAACACTATGAGCTGACACTCCCAAATTAGCACCAGAAAGGTGAGAAGATAACAATGATAAAGAAGAATGTAAACGAGCTGAATCAATTCATGATTCTAACATCTCTGGAACTCCAGCAAACCACATGGGGCAGAGAAAGCAGCTTCCCGTAACTCCCCAACGGCAGAAGATGGTAAACAAACATTTTCTGACAGAGTGTCTCTACCCAAAAAATCCCAACAACAAACTAGCCAAGAAACCAAAGAAAGAACTGAAGAAGACTAGACATCAGAAAAATCCACAACTCATCCTCAAATTGCTGAGGGGAACATTGATAGGCTTCCAACAAAAGTTGGATCAAAGATAAATACCTCAGGACAGTTGTGAAAGTAAGATGAATCCGAGAAAACTGTGATCTGTTCAAAGTGATCACAGGTTCCTATCTAGAACCCCACAGGTACAAAAGAGGATCCATCCATTAAGAATCTAAATATACCTCCTTCTGCCAGTGATAAACGAGTCTAAATTCTCTCCAGCTTATCCTGAATCATTTGCAAAAGCCACCTCAGAACCACCTAGAGAAATGTCTTCAGTCTGCATATATGTTGCCATCTTGCAACATATAATATCACAGACTACCTCAACTGTGAGTAACCCCTCCCCTGGCCTTTGACAAATATCAGATAGCAAAGGTGGAAGAGATGTGGTTGACTTCGTAGTAAAAACATTAATTCGGGAATTCGTACCCGTCAGTTTTAAAAAAAATTATTTTATAAATATAAGCAAAGATATAACCATAATAACGCCAACTACGTCGAAAGTCGCAATGTAAATTGTGAATAATCACAACACTTTTATTTATAGAAACACGTGCCGAACGCTTTGTCGAGAAAATGTTATTACATTATCTGAATTAAGTGCATATATACAGCACCTAGATACCGAATGCATTGAAGTTGGTGGAGAAATCTGTAAATTAAAGTTTGTCAAGGGCATTCAAGTGGGGTATAAAAGACTGGAGCAAGCATTTTCAATGCTTAGATGGGCAAAGAGTGGAAACCCTGGAGATTGATAAATAGCTATAGCATCAGTGGAGGTGGGTTTTAGAATGAAAAATTGGCAAATTCATTCAATACCTATAAATCGAGCTACATATGAATGAATTCCTTAATAAAGGGATTTTTCAAAAGCAAACAAAAAATAAGCTATACATAATAATAATAACACTGGAAGATGGAAGCATATACTCTATGTTCACCTACTGATTAACTGAAAAGTTATATCAATCAAAAAGTACAAAACTGAGTTACTACGCTAATTATGAATTCACAGTTTGACTCATTTAGAAAATTTTAATTAAACCTAACAAAAAAGCTATTAGAAAACAATGCCTTTCATAATTGTTCTGAAAATTCCACTGGTTTTTTTGTGGACTTACACAATGCATCAATTTAAAGCATTAATGTCCAACATGTCACTAAGTACAACAACACACCTTCAAATTGGCTTTTTGTTTTTGTTAAATATGTGCTTACTATTTGGTTCATTTTATCTATGCCTTCTTTTGAAGTAAAATAATCTAAAAAGGTTTTTATATTTTATCTATATCTGGCTGACTGTACATTGTATTAAACAATACCACTTTCCAATAGTAACTTTAAGGTTAAAACAAGCCTAGAAAAATATTTTCAGATCTATGAGTTAGCCAAAAAGCTAAGGAGCCAGGTGTTCCTAACCTAACTTTACTACTGTTTGTAGCAGGAAATGTGGGCTACACTAGTGCCTTGATTATCTGTGCCTCCATTATCCTCAATTATCTGCTTTTTTTTTTTCCCAAAATTTTCTCAAAATAATTGTGCCACTACAATTCTAGACAATAATTTACATGTTTTGGAGAAATTGTTGCTCAGAAATTAATTTTGGTTGCAAAAGTTCAGGTGTTGCATGATGTCCGGAGTTTTTGTGTGCAGGATCTAGCATGCGTTCAAATTACATTTCAGCCAGTTCAAGCCAAGCTAAGCCTCTTTTATTTTTAACTGATAAGATAGAAATACAAAATATTTATAGCTTGGTTAACTTTGTTTGATAAGTGATTAAAAACATAGCATAGAAAAACATAAAAAATACACATTAAGATTTCACTCAACTTCAGTTGTCGCCTGCTGTTCTATGCTGTACAGCAGGCATCCTTTAACCAGAGATGCATGTTCAGGTTATGTTTGGGTGTGGCCCAGTTATGCATTGTCCTCTTCCATACAAATAATTGGTATCTGCAGTCTGTTTTAACAAATGCACTAATTTTTGAGTTATTTTTCACAGGCATTGATAGGGTGCAAAATGCACTTCCATGTCTATAGCAAAAAAAGTGACAAAATTTAGGAGAATTTATGCCTATGTTAGTGATTAACTTAAACTAAAATGGGAATGGCTAATCAAAAGAGGAAGTATTATAGGAGAAACTGTGGAATTGGACTTGTATAACTCCTGAAATTTGGAGAAATTGAGTATTACTGACTGACACTTCACTTTTATGCTTATGACGACTTTTATAATTTTTCATGATAATATGATTAACCAACAGTAAAAAGATTATAATTTAAATTTAACTTAAAAAAATTAAATATATTGGAAAACTGTATTTAGATTAAACAATGGGCTAACTAGTGAGATACACAAGTGTCTCAATTATCTGTTGTTTCTGTTATCCATAATTTTTTGCTTTCTTCAAACCAGTATGGGATTTGTTGAGGCCTGGGTTAATAAGATACACTTGTTAGGTATTAAGAATTAACCACTATACTTACCTTTTAAACAAAATTTTCTAGGTTAGCTCCATCAACTATTTTAATTAAATTTTCCATAACAGTGATACTTGTCCATTCACAAGTCATGAAAAAAAAAGTAATCTTACAGCAACAATATAACACAGTAGCTTCAAATTCACAATCTCAGTTAAACTACTACATTATTTTACCACTGACTACATTATATTTCAATACTTACATGTGGAGGAGGAGAAGGCTGTGGAGGGAGCAAATGGTTTGCTTGACCCTGAGATACTGTGATATGAAGTTGGGAAATATGAGAGAGATTACTATGTGTTTTAGGACCTCGAGAGGAGTTTTGTGGAATGGCAACTCCACCAGAGAGCTGACTGATAGAGATCTGTTGTTGTAACAGCTGTAACCACTGTTCCATTGAGTCCCTACTGTGGCATACCACTATTATCCTCTGGATCATCTTTCCTAAATAAGTAAAAAAAAATAAAATACAACTCCTACCTTTCAACTTAATACAATCCAAACACAATTATTATAGACCATTACAGAATTCATTTACAATGCCTAAACAAAGTAGGAAAAAGTGCTGAGGACTAAATACTTTAAAAGTTAGCTGTCCACAGAAGACTGACTCATGTTTTGATGGTTTGGTCTCATTGTAAAATGTACCTTAACTTTCTTCATAAAGAGAGGGGCTGAGACAAATTTATACTAAAATATGACTGATGGCACACGTTCCATAAACATGTGGTCTTTAACATGAAAGTACTTCCTAAATCTACATTGTAAGGAAAACTCCCTCTTAAAATTATATTCCACTTATACATACTTATCTAATTTCCAGTACTAGGTGTGACTTAAGCTAACTAAAGTCTCTATATGTGCACAAGCAAGTTATTACAATACAGGAATATGGCTGAGAAACATCTAGTTTATATGAGGCATTATCAGAAATGCCTTGAAATTCCAGCTTGTGATTTTATGTATCTTTGTAAGGTTAATGCTTGTTCCACAGGTAAGTATAGATAATGGAATAATAAAAAAAAGTTTGAAAGTTGTTCAATTATTTCAGTAAGATTGTATCTTATGAAATAAATTTAAACTACCCCTTTCTTTTCTAGAATGACTGTATAACATAACAGACAATTACACACTATTTATTCATACAGCCAAAGTTAATACTTTTCAAGTCTGTGCTCATTCACTTTTCTTGTTCTATAGCTGTACAATGAAAGTTATTCAATACAGCAGGACAGCTTTGTGTAAACAAAGGATCAAGTTACCAGCACAAACACACACAACACACACTGAATTACAGAATCGTGCCTCACAACATACATGTGCTATCATGATTAACTAAGTTTTTATTTTTTTCATTTAAGATTTTTTATCTAACCAAACAAGTATATAATTTTTACATTTTGGTTATTTTTATAACAATAAATGAAAACATTCATAAAAAACAAAAAAATTTAGTACTTACATCTAGAATTTAGCCTTTTCAAGTTTTTGTACTTGGAACGAAGTCTCAGAAACACACTAAGCCTACTTTTTATAAAGATGTTGTTGTCTCATAAAGTATTTTTTTCAATTCAAGTATGCAATTTAAAATACAGAATATTAACATGCACAAAAATTAGAATGTTTTAAAACTACTACAGTTTAACTGGTTTTAAGTAGGTTAAAATGATCCTGACAGTTAGCTGATTGAGTCAAACTTCAACAATGGCAAACAATGAAACTGAGACCATTTTTCAAAACCTGTCACCTGGACAACCTAACCTCATAGAAATTCAGTAAATTAGAATCTTCTCTTTCCATTGGTTATAAATAATCCAATATAGCAAATGTCAAAGAGAATTACTGATATTTTTTGAAACATGGGGTGTGGGTTTAACTTTATTGTATATATCTCAGTTGAGCAAGAAGCTTGAAGGTTAGAAACTTACACTTTAGCTTGAGTATATCTATTGTATAAATGTGTCATTCATGTGAAACTTAGGAATATCATATAAAGGTAGAAAGAAAATGAAAAATTTGTAATTCAGACTGAAGACGTGTCACATGATACAGAAAAGTGTGAATTGAGAAAATATTTTTTTTATTTTGAAAGTAAGAAATTACAAGCTACATAATATGATGTTTCAATGCCAAGTTTATTAACATACATTGATAATAAAGTTAATTACATATTGAACATAACTCTATAAAAGGTAGCAACATCCATACTTTGACTGAGCCCAATTTCAGAAAGTTATACAAAAATTAAACATATCTTTGTTTAAGGATATGCAAATGTGTGATACACAGTACTCAGTATAGATACTGTATATTTTATCTAATAGTAGACCATGTCTGATAATGTTGGAAAGTTTGATAAATTTCTTGTTACAAACTGTACAATAAATATGATCCAATAAAATATAATAAAGTCAATAAATATTTAATTTCTTTTGGAAAAATTAAAATGTAAAAATAAGAGCTAATATTTTTCAAATAACTTAGCTACATGGTCTCTATGCTCAAGGGCCAAAGAACTTAAATTCAATCACTATATCTGAAAGCTTTTCAAAATTGAAAATTATGAATCTTTCTCAGATAAAATGAATTGGTGTTCAAACATAACTCTCATTAAAATAGTTCATAGATTTATATAAAGAAAAAAAAACATTACAAAGTCTTAAATTGATAACACACCAAGAATATTTTCAGAATGCTTGACCATAGACAGATAGTTCCTATCCTTATGCTGTTTTACAACACATAACCACATTTTCAGACCACTTCTACACAGGTATTCACTATTAGATAATTTTTGAAAACCACTTCTTAACAGTCTTCATATGTGTACTTTATGAATTAGAATAAATGAACTATTCAAATTTATTCAGACAACTTTTTTACAGCTTAGATACGTATCTAGGACTGTGGTATGTTTAATTTCTATTTGATACCTCAACGTGGAATGCCAATTTAAAGATATGTAATCTGATAATGACCTATAATTTAAATATCTTATCAACCACCAACAAAACTGGACACTTGTTTATAATAACTTAAATTTTATAAAATCCTCTGAATATGAACTTAATGCTAGACATGGTTGTTGTTTTTTTATTTTGGAAAATTGTGATTTCTTCGTGATTTGTTTCATGTCTGAACAGTTCTAACATGTTTGCAATTTTTTATCATGTTTGGACAATTGTAATTTGTTCAAAGTTTTGTTTCATGTTTCAAAACTTATTAGGACTACTAACTACAACAATTCAATGCAAACCAGATAATGAAGCTGATATTTATACTCAGTAAAGTATCTTGTGTGATTTTCATATTTTTAATTCTCTTACCTAACAGTTCTTTAACAGCTGTGTGTGAAATCTTGTAAATATACAACTATTACATGAAAAGGACTGATCTCAACTGTTGACAAAACAACACTGTCATGTCAAAACCACGAAAGTTCATTTTTCATTTGTTCTTTAGATGGAAACGTCTCAAGAATATGTCACTAAACATTTTGTTAAAACCATATACAAAATTACAAGTGATACCTTTGTTACATTATTACAATAATTTTTTAGTTTAAAAACCATATTAAATTTGGGATTTTGAATATACAAATAGTTTTCGCATGACAATGACAATTTAATATACTCTTATTTCAATAAATATAAATGAACAGAGACCAATAACATTAACAATAATTATCACCTACCTGTAATTACAAAAGCATTCTGAATTCTATCATTAGATTGAAGTTTATTGACATCAATACCAGAGAGAGGAAGTTTTCCCTACAAAGAAACATGTTCACAAAATAAGCTGATAAAACCATTAACAAAATCACTACCTTTTTACATAAACTCATAACTCACAAATCTATTAGTTTTAGCAACAGCAGCAAATACTCTTTAAACATTCTAGACAAAAAATTTCCAATAATAGATTCAGATACAACACTGAGAAAAAAAACACGTTATTTCAGATTTCTTACAAGAGTTGTTTCAGCAGTGTACCTCCATTACACTTGTATCAAACAAAAATACATTGAGGCTTTTACCATAATGTTACTTCCACATCACGATGATAAAACAAACATTTATCAGAATTATTTACATCTAAATGACAAATCAACTCAAAAACTCGATAGATATTAATTCTGCTGCTTGTGTGTCACACTGTTTCTGAATGAACAAAGTTAAGAAGTTTTGAGAGGAAAACTATTAATAAATTCTGAAAGTACATTAAACTAAAATGGCAACTGAAATGGTATCAAGCTAAATTAAACTGCGAACACACTTTAATATTACTTCTGAGCACTCCACAAACTTAAGTCTGAGACAGTTATAGTTTTAAAGATAAATGTAAAGTTACAATTATGTTCACAATTTGATTTATAAATCACAATACTAAAACACACTATGCAGGGCACCTGAAAATTGTTCTATTACCTTAACACACTTTGTTATTAACAGTTTTTAGTTATGATCCCAAGAACATTACATGAGGTTCAGCAAGATTAGAAGATTCAGGTCAGAACTACAACCATGTTTGTTAACCTAATATAACTATTACATAACTATTGCTAAGTTCAAAATGGAATACAATGCTTGGCTATTGCTTCGGCAAAACTGACACAGCAAATTTTGCTGTGTCAGTTTTGTTTACATTAATGTTCTTCTTCCCTTCTATGATAGTCTTCACTTCTCTTACATTACTCTCTCTTATGTTTCTTCTTATATTCGTTTTTTTTATATCTCTTTGTTCAAACTCCAGTTTTCCATCCTTTTACTTCCCTATTACTACTACTTTTCTCACTGTCTCTACATTTTACCTGTTTTGTTTATATAGTAAATCTAGCTACATACACTAACATTAAAGAAATATTTATGCTGCTAATATTAAGCTAGCCTAAAACAGAACATGATGAGACTGGGAAGCATTTAAGATTACACATTTAATTTCTTTCTCTATGTAGCTCTATGTTAACTTTCAATTACATTACAAGCCTATTCACTTTTAAATAAACTGTTATTTGAAACTAAAGAATCTGCAACTGAGAGTATTAAATGTGATTGCTTAAAATATAATGCTACAATTAAAACATCACACATCACATGATCTTTCGTCATTGACAGAAACAAGAAATAAAAGTAGATTAAATGGGCATAAAAGAGCAACAAAAATCTAATTTAATGAACTGTTTCAGTAAAAAATTTACTTAAACTTTAAAACCTGCAACAGGGGAGGGGGAGAAAAAAGTGCCTATACAACAAATACTTAATGCTAGCAAATAGCTTAAACTACATTTATACTGTGACCTTACAAAATTGCAAGCCTACATTTCAATTAACTCTCATTAGATAATCATTAATATTACTAAATTGTTCTGGATTAACGAATTTGAAAAATTATTTAACAGTTCAAGTAATGACAGTTATCAAAAAATAAAACTTTTTTTTAACTTACAGATTGGTTATTTAGACAATACGAGTTTTTGGAATAGAGTGTATGACAAACCATGTAACATATAGGCAAAATACTTTTATTTACATGCAAAAGAAGTACAGGAATGCATCCAACTGGTTTCTAAAAATGGCACAAGAAGGCACCACTTTAGAAGCTATACAATGATATTGGATAATACATTATGTAACATCTCCCTAGAAATCACATGAACATTAAATTAAAGAACAGTTACTGGGTTATAAAAATAAGAAAGCTCTCAAACAAGTAGTTATGTCAGATGAGTATGGTCGTTAAACATGAGAGAAGTGGCTGCAGAGAACCTAGTCACTATTTACAATGTCCTTGCTAAATGAACATAAAGTTGAAGACTGTCTTTTTTTACCAACTATTTTACAAACTAATCACAATATGATTACATTCCTGCAGTAATAGGGCTCAAGTATTCACCCAAATCATCACAAAGTCTATTTTGGCCCATGCAAATCAAGTAAGTGTACTCCACATATATAGACACACACACACACACACACACACACATATATATATATACATGTGTAATCCTTGTACAAAGTAAATTCATTTAAGAGCATGATAGTGTGTTTGTCATATTACTTACCAAATTCCCAATACCCGAACATACTTAAATAATTAAAAAGTCTAAAATATACAAACATACATAAGGTACCTCTACCAATAGTTAATGAAATTGTCGTATACTTTCAGAAATTAATTCAATTTGTTATTACAAGTATTTTTGTTCAAGAGTCATTCCTTTTCCAGATCCTGAAACTCTTAAACCACTAGCCAAGACTTACACTTTTTGGTCTATTATATATACATGTCAAATTTAAGAGCAATCTGATAATTTTATTTATGGCTAGTATTTAACTATAAGAAATTAAATAAAGAATGTCAGGTAACCATCCATCATAATTGAACCAGTTATTACAAAAGAAATACTTACTTCATAATTGAAGGTACTCATATGTGGACTCACAGAAAGCATGACTAGAGTGCGAGGAAAAAGAACAAAGTATCTGTCTTTACGTTCTTGTACTTCAGTTACAGTAATTACAGGTCCCATGTTAATAATTTCTCCTAACTTATTTACATTCTGAAAAAAGAGTATAAAATAAGCGAATAAGAAATCACAGCAACAGAAAAAGTCATAATTAATTTTACAAGTTGCAGCTGACAAATTGTTTTAGTTGGAAGTTTTTTTCAATTCTATGAAAAAATGAAGTACCTTATTAGTTTAACCCATTAAAATGTTAAAACTTAATTTAATGTAGAAAAAACTTTTTTTTTTCTTGCTATACTAAACATTATAGCATCATTTACATTCTATACTAACTTTATACATATCCAAATTTTGATTGAGTTAAAGAAAAACAATATTCAAGTACAAAAACAGACTTCTTAAAAAATCTAAAATAGCTTTTAAAGTGGATTAGATGGTTAGAATAATAGCTTTTAGTTTGTTTGTATGTTGAATTTTGTGCAAAGGTACACAATAGCTATCTGCCCAATTTGGAATTGACAGACTAGTCAATATCTTCAACCTCCAGCTCTTGGACTACTCTTGTAAGACTAAGTAGAGGGATTTGACTATTACCCTTATCACATATCCATGGCCCCATAGTGCCAAGCACGTTATTTTTGTATTTTGTTGGTAATGGTAGATGTACCATGGAACCTCAGTTCTACAGTCTGGCATAACACATTAACTTTTAAGGTTACTTACAAGCAAATGAATAGCCTGTGTACCATGACCATGAGCTGTGTTTCCTATCTCATACTGGTGATTAACTACAATTATCTAATGATGCCCTTTCTTAGAAATTCTAGTCATGTCAATAAGAAAAAGTATATTACAATATAACATGATACTAATTATTTCTAAATTCTCTGGTCACAAATATAAAATGTTATACTAAACATGTAATCTCACCATATTTGTAAAATAATAATAATGTAAATCATAATGATCAAAATATTAACAATACTGAAACTATATATATATATATATATACATACACACACTTATATTTTTAAGAATATTTTCAAATATAAGGCAACTGGAAATGATCAAATATTTCAGCTTGATAACCAAATTCTGTTGCCAGATTCTATATCACAGACTTCTTCAAATCCCAACATTTGTTTAACATTTCTGTTTGTTCATATTACTAAAGAACATGAAATATAAAAAAAAAATCACTGTCCTTACTTCTCCTTCCCATCCTCGAATCTTTCCTACCAATACCTCCAGCTCCATTTCCTTCTGCCTTCTCATGGCTATACAGGAATCCTTGAAAAACAAAATGAAATACATGCATTTCACATAAAAGTTTCCTTACAAATCTTTTTATGCTTTTATAGCATGAAAAAAGTTTACTTTTTTTCTAAAAGAACTTAATTCTGTAGTGAACTAATTCTTAAAATCATTCCTTTTACTATCATTACAGTATTTCAAAACAAAGTCCTAGATTAGGAACTTAGGACATCATTATTGTCTTAAACAACTTTGTTTCATTTTTTGGTTTATAATAAAGAGATACAACCAAGTCAAGTCTTTGGTACTGCAGAACATTCACTGTAGGTAAAGTGTTTGACTTTTGATCATTCCTCTTCACCTTGTTTAATTAAGGACTTACTTTCGTGAATGTTCAACCAAAAACATAACCATCAACAAACAACCCTTACACACTTGCATCAACTTGGTTGCACATACAAATAGTAAAACCCATACTGGTAATTTGATACTTTAGCAGTATATACTGCATATTAATTTTTTATTCCTAAAAAAAAATACAAAATAACTGCACAAGTAATCTATAAAAACAAATGCCTAACTAAAATTAAAATTTTTTTCCCTAATCTGAAAATGTATTTCTAACAAATACTCACCTCCTAACACAGAATAGATATATCCCTCACCTGCCTATGAGACTTGCATGCCACTAGCCTTGAGCTAACTCCCATGCGTTTAAAATGAACTGTGCAGGTGCATGATGACATCATTATGCAATAAAAGCCCTCCACCAATAAAAGGACAACATAACCTCTTAAACACTTGTACTTGAAATAACTTCATTCTTAGATGAGGTAAAAAGAAAGTGCACCAAAAATGGGAAGATCAGGTGGAAATGCGTCAAGGTTGGTTGGTTGGTTGTTTGGTGCTTTATGGCGCAAAGCGACAAGGCTATCTGTGCCAAACAGTAAAAGTAAATTAGAGTAAAATGTAAAAATACAGAGAGATAAAAACAAAATATGTCCAAAATTTGGATAAAAGAGTTATATACAATTAAAAAGACCAATAGTGCATAAAAAATTAAAAATACAATCAAGTCGGACAGTGTTACCATAGCCACTGACACTATGAAGGGATGGTAATAAGCCATGGCATAATGGGCTGATCATTAGGGACAGCAATGTCATCCGATACCAGACCCAATTCAGCCAGATGTGTCCAGATACGAAAGCCAAAGGGAGGAATAGCAGACTGTCCGTACTGAAAGAGCATGGCCCAACAAGGAAGAAAGACACAATCCCAGATGGGATGCCATGGTAAGGATCGAAGCTTGGTAGCATATTGTAAAGAAAGTTGCAAACAATGGAGGTGAAGAGGAGATTCGTGGGATTCAGTGTATAAACTCTGGACTGGAGAAGTGCGAAAAGCCCTGGTGCAGAGCCGAAGCCCCAGATGGTGAATGGGGTCCAGCATCTTCAAGGCCAAGGTCCTGGCAGAACCACAGACCAAAGACCCATAGTTCAGTTTGGACTGAATCAGGACACGATAGATCCTGAGCATAGAACATCAATTCACTCCCAAAGAGAATTAGAAGAGAGGTCACAGAGGATGTTCAGAGCTCTTGCACACTTGACACATAGCTGCTTGATGTGCAGAATGAAGCTAAGTTTACGGTCAAAGATAATCCCCAACAACTTTGCCTCAATGACCACACAAATAACTATATCGCCGAGAAAGAGCTTGGGATTGGGGCGGAGACCCCATTGGCAGCAAAATTGCATGCAAACGGTTTTGGAAAAAGAAAATGTAAAACCGTTTGCAATGGTCCATGTCAACAACTGATTGAGGGCAGTCTGAAGCTGAATTAATTTTAACACTAAAAAGTGTGTCACTCAAACACAGCCCCATGGAAAGGAACGGGAAAGAGTTGAACCCACTCGGATTTGGAATCGCCTGTTCGGTAAAAAGTTTTGAATAAAAATGGGTAAATGGCCACGCAACTCATAGGAGTGGAGGTCCTGCAAAATGCCATACCTCCATGTAGTGTCATAAGCCTTCTCGAGATCTAAGAACACAGAAACAAAGTGTTCTCTCTTAAGGAAGGCTTCCCTGTCCATGGTGGAGCGCTGTCGACGGAACCCACACTGGGAAGGCGAGAGGAGCATGTTTGGTTCGAGAAACCAAACAAGACGAGTATTAACCATCATCTCTAAAACTTTGCAAAGACAACTGGTCAAAGTAATGGGACATTAATTAGAAGGAATCTTGGGATCCTTCCCAGGTTTAGAGAAAAAGAGGACAATAGCCTGGTGCCAAGCATCAGGAATAATGTGTCCCTGCCAGACTCGGTTAAAAATAACCAGAAGAATAGCAAGAGAGGCAGGAGAGAGATGGTGCAGCATCTCATAATGAACATCATCAGGTCCGACCAATGAAGAGCAAGTTAAGAGTTCCACCAGCGTAAAGGGGCGATTATAGTCATAGAAACGATCCGCCCAAAAGGAAAGAAGCAATCATTCAGCCCAAGACTTGATGGCCAAGAATGCAGGGAAAGAAACAGAAGTGCCAGAAGCAAAAGAAAAAGCTGTGGCCAAGAGCATCAGCAATGCTCTGGACATCAGCAACTTCCTGGCCACTGGAAAGCATGATGGAAAGGGAATGGGAAGCATACCTCCCATACAGTTTTGGAACTGGTGGTAGAAGAGATGCTAGTAGTGAACTTAATCCAAAACTCCTTTTGGCTTTGATATCAAACCTGCCAAGCATGGGCACAGGCCCACTGATAAACAATGCGGTTAGAAAGAGAGGGATACCATCGGAAGGTATCCCAGGCCATGGACAAGGATACCGTGGAAAATGTGTCAGGGTCTTAGGAATAAAATGAGCAGCTGCCTGGACAATACATTCAGTCACTGCAACCACACAGTCGTCTATTGATGGCAGACAGACAAAGGCAGGATCAAGTTTAGAGAGAGAGGTGAAAGATGGCCAGTCAGCCTGGTCCAACTTCCACCATGGCACTTGGGTCAGTTGGCATCGACCATGGCCAACCTCCCTCATAATGATAGGAAAATGATCACTGCCCCATGGGTCACTGTCGACCATCCAAGAAAAGCGAGTGAAAAGTGAAGGGGAGCAAACTGAGAGATCAATGGCAGTAAAAGACTGACTAGGAGAATGAAAATAAATATATGTTCCAGCATTGAAGAGAGAAAGGTTGGGATCCGAGAGCATAAGCTCCATGGAATGACCCCTCCCATCAATATCAGCACCACCCCAGAGGGGGGTTGTGTCCATTAAAGTCTCCTAGTAGTAAAAAGGGAGATAATAAGTCTCCCCAGGAGAAAGGTAGAGAGAACAAACAGTGATGGTATGACCCAAGGAAACACGGATGGCTACAGCCTCCAAGGGTGTATCAAGGGACAAAGATAAGGAGGGCACATGCTGGTTGACCAGCAGTGCCACCCCTCCGTGCACCCATCCATCACACAACCTGTCTTTCTGGTACAAAGAAAACTGCCAAAAGGTGACTGTATCGGCAGGTTTCAGAAATGTTTCCTGAAAGGAGAGACACACAGGATGATAGGAGGCAATCAAGGCCTTAATGTCATCGAGATTAGAATGAAAACCTCAACAATTCCACTGTATCAAAGTGGACATTTTTATGTAGGTGAAGGAGAACAGAGTGGAGAACCCTTTGGTTTACAACCACGTAGTTTTTCTTTACTAGATCAACCTCCATGGATCCTGACCTTGATCGAGTGGGCAGATATCTGTCATCAGAGCAATCAGGATATGTACGTCCTACACACTGACCTTAATTATCTACAGCCAGAAATCAGTTGATAGATGATGAGTTGGCCACTGGATGCCAGTACACAGTCGTCTTGGGAACAACAAAGAGTAAAAACCCAAAGAAGGGGTGTATACCTGCTCGACTGTGTGTTTTGTCAGAAGATCTGAGACCTCATCCTTGTGACACTAATGATAAATGGGGTCAGAGAAAGAAAAAAACAGGATGAGGGAGAGAAAAAAATGGAAAGAGAGACCATGAGTGAACACTCAAAGAGCCCATCTGTCAGCAGCAAACTGAGACCAAAGGTTAGCAAAGTGAAACAGATGGGCACTCACAGAACCTTATCCCAACAGGACAATCATTGGCAAGATGAACAATGAACCTAAAGTGGGAAGATGGGAAGAGGAGGAAAACTTGAATGCTGAAATGTGAAGGGTAGGAGTAGACTGATCTGACCAAGGAACAGAAAACGAAGAGCAAGACGAGAAACTAGGAAAGATAATGAAGATTGATGCCTGACTGCTTCAGCCAGAGTTTCTTGTGAGTCAGAAATATCACTGAAGACTTCTGAGTAAAGAAATAGAGTCAAACAGAGATCATGTAAATAAGATGGAGGGAGGTGGACATTAGTGAGGAGCACATCATGAGAATGTGCCTGGATCCAAGTCAATCTTTCTGTCCAAAAAATTATTTTATTGGAGACAGTGCAATGGGTGACTGCAAAACCATATGTTTAAAAGCTGGCAAGCATGGGCCAGAGAAGTGGGCAGATACACAACTTTGTTGCTGGCTTTTCCAATGATAGTCCGCAGAATTGATACAGTATAGATTGGCTATATAATATATATATATATATATATACAAAAATAGAGAGAGATATCACAAGGAAACCTCTAGTGGTCTTGCAGAACACCCCATCTCATTGTGGGCACGTGTAGAGTCAGGGCAGATAGTAAAAGCACTTTCTGTTAACCTGGCTCAATGTAGAGTTTTGAATAAGTATGCCCTGGAAGGCAACAACAACCACCTAGTGTGGTCCTATGGTGATTGCAAGATGAGAAATATGCACATTCACCTGTCAATAGGCAGAGAGTGGATTGAAGAATGGCCATGAGCAGAAGGCTAAATCATAACAGGATATGCAAATAGTGGTTGATGAAGAGCTGTGGGGTAGTCCACATACTAACTCAAAGAAAAAGTGAGAGAAATTGAGAGGATAAAAAATTGAAAATACTACAAACAGAAGAGGAGAGTTACTGAA